CTGCTGCACTCTAACAAGACTTCTAAACACTCCCAAGGGAAATAGAGTTCCTCAGGCGAGAAACGAAAGAATAACTTACATGTCGCAGCAGTGATTCCTCTCCCAGAGCTTTCACCAAGCCTTTTGTGTCCATCTGGCCAAGACGAAGGATGTAGAGTGGTCGTCCATCTTCAAAACAAACATAAGGGTTTAAAGAGGGAAGTACTCCAGTCTCTCAGGCTATCACTCTAGTACCTTTTATAAAAGCCACATTAAATATCTGAAAAGGACAAAAATCATTTCCAAAGGCAACCTTGTCAAAGAGATGCTGCTTTGCACTACCTCTAGTCTGCTTGATCTGTGCAGAGAAAATAACAAAATTACAGCAAAACATAGTGGCTATTTACAGAGGTTGCACTGCTTTGTTAATGTTTAAAGTGTCAATACAATTTTCTCCAAAAATCCCACGTACTTATGAGGTCCTATAACACCAACTGTGCTGCAGTATCAATGTAAGGGGCAGCCTCTAACCTTTGTCTTGATAATGCCATCCTCCAGTGTAGTATTCATCTAACAGGGCTGGGGGCCTCCATGACTGTAGGATGTAATCCACCTGGTACTGCTTTCGCCAAGACAGTGACTGACAGAGCATTTCTCGAGCTTTGTCAATGTTGAAGTCACGAGCCCGCAGAAATCGAAGGATATGTTCATCTTTGGGGATCTGAGAGAAGAGAAAGTCTGAGGATCAAGACTGGTATGTTACTTGTACCACTGTTCCATAACGCCTGCAGAGAAGCCTGCAGAGCGTGCACTATTTTTTTTTTTAAATCTCTTAAAACTAAGATAACAAATACTAAACCTACATTCCTTCTCCCTCCCTCCTTAACTAACCCAGTTGAATGAAGCAGATGGTGCTAGGAGCACAGTTCACAGCCTGTGAGAAGCCTTTCACTGATCCAATTGCCAGAAGCCCCAGCAAACTCTGGGCTGGCTAAAGTTTCCCTCGGCTAGCTATCTACAAGGACAAACAAAATACCATACGAAAGTAACAGAGCTGCACGCTTGCCTCCCCACAGGGCAAATTAGCAAAGGATGGAAAGCATCCATAGGTAACACCTTAACCAACTTAAGCACGCACCGTTTGGCATGGGATCACGACTGTATAGTCTCCAAATGATTACCCACTAGCACCAATTCCAACTCTTGTGCAGACCCCTCTTCTGCTTTGCTGTTGACCATGCTTCCCTGGTGTTGTTTGAACACGAAAACTTTAGTTTTTCCCCAGGCTTCCCTGCCCCATCACATCATACTAACTCTTGCCAAAACAAACAAATTAACCCAAACTACAACAGACCCTCTCTCTATCACTCATCCCAACAATTTCTATCAGTAATTCTAGCATCATGGGCACAAAAGCTTTCCCAAACCAAGTCTGTAGAATGGCTTATTCTAAGCCCCTTCCAAATCTCCCACATTCCCTTTAGCTGAAAAATCAAAGAATATTTGCCAGTAATACTAAGCAGCATGAATTAACAATAAACCCGATAGATTCCATAAAAGTGCCAAATTTGGCTACAAGCCTGTCAGTTACAAAAACTGGATTATAGCTGCATAGGCTGCTGATTTCTCTTCTTAGTCCCTTCACCCCAACTCCCCCAAAAGTGTTCGACCTCATTTGCTACATCAAATTTCCATTAAAAATTCAAGTTCTGGCAAGCAGGGATAGTCTCCTCCGGAGTATCTGTACTGTGCTTAACACAATGCAAGCAATCTGAGCCCTGCTGTAATACAAAAAAGCGTGTGTCCAGAAGTCAAAGCTCTTTTGTTTGTTCACTGACATGCTCACAAAAACAGAAAGCAAGGAAGAAAGCAAAGCTGCCAGCAGTGTCAGGCTGGGAGCAATCTCAGTTTCACAAGCTGGTATGAAGCTACAAGAGATATTAAGAATTGATTCCACCTAAAGAAAGGGGTAGAGTTTGGGCAGCCTAAAGCCAAGCCTAGAAGGACCTGAAGATGAGACAGATAAACACTCTTCAGCATATTCTAACACTGCAAACATTGCATTTGTACGTCATAGAAAGGAAAAGGGCAGCCTTCCCAAACAGGATCTCAGATGTATTTAGAAGAATGCCACTAAAGTTTTCTGCATCGTAGCAAGATTAAAGACAGCAGAATTTTTATCAGATGATTTACATTTGCATTTCTGCTGCTCAGAGGAAGCCGTTACTCACAAGACAACAGACAAAAACCAGAAACATCTACAGCAGCCCCTGGATCTCCTGTAAGACCTGGGAGAGGGGATGGTTGTTAGAAGGTTTTTCACGTTTCAAACCCATACTGTACATAGCTTCAGGTAAGAGGTACATTCAGCACTTCTGTCTGGACCAAAGGCAGGATGCTCTGAGGGGACTTATTCCATAGCGGAATTAGTCTCTTTATCTCTGTCCAACCAAGTAACTCCCATATGCAGGAAGATGAAGTTTTAATTTCAGCCTGGTTTTCTATTTACTAGTGAAACTACATGTACTCTTCTACATGGTGCACAGCCATTGATTACCAGGTTTAAGTATCTGCAATTTTAATACCATTTGAAGTTTGTTTCTTCAACTACTCAGATTTTTAAAGCAACAATAAATCTGATTCTAAAGGATAATGTCTGCTTTGGAAGTAACAGGGAATGGATACTGAAGCTGGATGAAGAGGACAAAAATAAGGGACATTTTCCAAGAAACAAGGGATCTACAAATATTTTTTGTCAGAGGAATAAGGACATCCCTGCTCCGAATTAAAAGAACAGATTGTCACAGCAAGGTAACAGCCTCTCCAGAGAAAACTCAAGTCACGTTGGCCAAGTTCCTGATTTTGTATTATTCTGACAGGCAATCAAGAGAAGCAAAGAGGTGAGTAGTAAGGGGGTTCAAGATGAAGTTTCAATAGCCAGCACCATCCTTCCTACTTGTTCAGGACCACAGAGGGAACAGAGTTCACAGAGCCTACAAGGCAGCTTCCAGCTGTCACTAAGAGGGCTCAGCAATCAGCTGTACCTTGCCAAGTACCTAACACAGCAAGCAGCTGTCAGGAAGAACAAGGGCTTGCACACACCCACCGAGTTCCAAGCACCCCATGAGGCAGTTGTTTCACATTTTGCTCAGGTGCTGTCACTTTTAGCTTCTCCAGCTTCCATTCCCCAGCCTCTGACTAGGAGGGGGTGGAAAAAAACAACCCACAGAACAAACCAGGCAAACATTGAGATTGTGCTTCTTCCACCTGAAACCAAGATCCTTGCAGATCACATGCATGGATAAAGCCTCACTGTCTTATTCTCATCTAGGGCTTGTTTTCAGCTGGACACCCAATAGCCAAGATCTCCTACCACACAGGAGTCCGCACCATTTTACTGGACAGGTCACCGTAGACCTGAGACGCCTTATGTCCTGTATTTTAGAGCATAACTATTCCCAGGGATTGATCCCCGCCCTTTATTTTGTGACTGCTTGTTGTCAAGCACCTTTTATCTGACAGTAGATTGAATTAGGGGAGACACAGATCACAACTAATAGTTAGTAGAGCCCATTTTATTAGTCAAGCTGTTATTACTAGCAAGTAACTATTCACACAGTTCAGTCACACACACACTCACAATTACCAGGTTAGTTGGGAGGCCAGCCCCAGCTATTTACTCAGAGGCAGAGCATCATAGTGACACGATAGCAGCTCGCAGGTAGGTGTTCAGACAGTCCTTCAAGGGGTCTTTTGTTCCATCAGGTGTATATAAATTCCTGCAGACTCTACCTGCGTCGAGCAGCCACCACGCTCTTGGACATGGTCCATATTATACAACCTGTTGTTGATGCTACTGTATAGCAGTGGCCTCAGAGTTGGCAGATGCTTGGTGTTCTGAATTTATCAGCTCTTACAGATTCAACAGCCTTGTTATTCTCTGGAGCTTATCAGGTGCTGGGAGACTTCCACACACTACCTTAACACATACTGCTCTTCTCTTCAGCCTGTGGTTTTCTGGTACCTGTTTCTTCATCCACATTCATAGGTACCAACAAAACCCATGCACACACTCACACAGAAGGGGACTTCTTCATGAGTTCAATAACAGAACTATAGCACAATCTTTGTTACGTTTTATTTCTATGTGGGTGATACATACTAGTTTTTCCAAGAAAAAACCAGGGCTTTATAGATCATGTTTAAACTCCTTATACTCAGATGAGACATACTCTCTCTCAGCTCTGAGAAAGATACAGCAAGGCACGCAGAAAGTACTGGCAAAGCTCCCTGCAAAGAGTAGCCTCTTTCAGAAACTCCAGTTAAAAGAAAAAAATAATCTTCCAAAGCCCATGAACGCAAGGTACCCCCTAACCCATTCTGTATGGCTGACTGAGCAGTTACCTTCTAAGCCAGGAAGCTATTACTATTGAAACCTTATCTAGCTATAACTGTGTGTTTAAGGGGGATCACTTGCTCCGCCATCTTCCTCCGTTTTCCTCTCTTCCTAAGCACTATCTTATCTACTCAGCCCACTCAATTACTGTGTGTTGCTATCCTCAGTCCCTCCTTCCTTCCCACCCAATCTCGCTCCATCAGGAAATCTTGAGCTAGATCCCTCCTGAGGCATTCAAGCTGTCCTAGATCTTTTCTCAGCCACATACCAGTTACCCTCTTGACCTGATATAGAGGCTCCCCTTCAACCAGGAGGAACCCAAGCAGCTGCTGACCACTACAGCAGAGCAGATACATTTAGCCCACAGTACCTGTGCCGGTTGTCAGGGAAAAATGATTCTATCTATATTAGCTAGCCAACTCCAGCTGTACTTGCCCCAATCTAGTGCCCTCAGCTCCCCTATTTTAGGGGCTTACACAATGTACCTCACACCATAAAGGTGAGACTGTCTCTACTTCTCGAATTCTGTGTGGTTTTAAAATAGTACATTTTGACAAAGGAGATTAAAACAAGAACAGAATGAATTCTCCTCAGAAGAATTCAGCCCTTGGCTCTATGAGCTTACACAACCTGCCTGATGTAATGCACACCGCACAGAGCTGACACGCAGCAGCTGAGAGCTCAGTACTACCAACTGCCTCTCTGCATCGCCTGGAGCCAGGGGATGCAGCACCAGTGCAGCTGACCACTTCTCCCACCCCACCCTGCAGCTCTTGGGAAAACACAACTCGTCCAGATAGGCCAGCCTAGGTAACCAAGCCCCGGTCAATGCCTACTCTAAATACACAGCAAAAAGCTCTATGACTGGGCACCACAGAGCTGGCTTTTCATTACCGACAGCACTGAACTGGGCAATGCAGGTGCGGTCTGTGATAGTGTTGGATCCTGCTGCGAGCTCACACAGGCCGTTCTCCATGCCTGGCCTTTTACCTAACCTTACCAAGACAGTTGAGTCTCAACACACAGATTGTCTGTGACCCTGAGGTTTACTGAAGGGTTGAAGGCACAGAAGCTATGAGAACAACAGTGTTCAGGCTTGCAAAGGGGTGCTTTCTGCCTCACCTACTCACCTTGCCTTTGTGCGTTTCTTGAAGCCACTGGCGAAGGCGGATCAAACAACTCTCTTGCATTGGAGTCAGCTGGCCCAGATATCGCTCAATGTAATCAGCATCCAATTTGTCAGCTGGAGAAAATAAAAAAGAACAATTCAGAGGAGACTTGGCATAGCCAGACAGCAGATATGCAGTTATTTCTATACATCAGGTTACTTATGATTTACACTAGAAGAGTGCAGAAGCCCTCATTTTAGCTGCCTGAAGGAAGTGAGTGAGTGATGTTCTCACGGTGATTAGGGCATGAGGACGCAGACAGCATGTAAGGTATCAAAGACAGACTCCACCTGTCTCTTAGAACACTAATATTTCATTCAACCCTGAACTGCTCCAGCAGGAGATTTAAAAGTAGTATCATGAGCTCTGACACTCATCTCATTAACCACTCCAAGACCCAGGCACTTAAATCCCCCAGTGTTCTAAAGATCTCACACACAATTCCAATGACAAGAGGCTAAAAAGCAGTTAGCTGGAAACTGAAATATTATTCTGCTTACAGACACCAGAGAGAAAGGGAAAACAACACTACCATTTCTGACAGCAAGGGAGATTTTGGGGATGAGGAGAAGTCCTGTGAATACCAGCAGCTCATGGTCCCTCCAGATCAGAGACAAAGGACAAGCGGTTTGAGACTGCCAGCATTCAGAGACAGAAGATGTGCCACCCGAGGCGTGCATGTGCAGATGCCAGCAAGGAGAACGTGGTACCCAAAGAGGGTCTGCACAGGTCAGGAGGCATGCAGGCACACAAGAAGGAGGGCTGGGAGGACCACCTCTAAGCTAGCTCTTCATCAGGCAGGAGTCTTTTTTCAGCAGATGCCATTAACTACAGAATAAGGCCTAGACACTCACAGGATATGCTGTTACCGACTGATAATACAGAGCTTATATTTGATAAGTGCTATGCCCCCACCGAATCCACAGAGCTAGCAAGCTGGGGAGCAGTCCCAGGTAAGCTAGTCACTTCCTAAACATGAATGTAAGCAGAAAAATAAGAGCTACTTTCCTCTTCTGCTAGATGGGATCTGCTACTCTTAGACTGAAGTCAATCTCAAAGCACATCGACATTTCTTATAGTCAGTTCCTCTGTAGATTTTGATCCTTTTTCCAGGTGGATTCCAATACAGAGAAGGCCTGGTGAGACCAGAACCATTGATAGTTCCAAATTCCAAGCTTCTTCTCTAGTTACACTCAGCAAAACAAGTGCTGTCTTTCCCTGCTGAGGACGGACAACTCCTATTTCTAATACCACAGCTCTAAATTAAAAGGCCTTTCTATTTCTTTTTGTCAAAGAATAATTTTATTTAGTCTAGAAGATATCATCAGATCAACACACAGAAAGATAAAGTCCGATTCAGGCATTTTGTGTGAGAAACATGTTAGGCAACATTCTGCAAGTTCGTCTTGGCCTGATATAGGGGCAAAACCCATCAAAACCTGTCCCCAAGAACATTAATTTTGAAACAGCCAAAATATTTCATTATAATTCAGTTATAGCATACTGAAGACACCTTTAATTTTCTCCATTTTAAGTATAAAATACCTTAAAGGTGAGATCAAACCCAGTTTTTTTTTCCTAAGCTCAAACAAAAACATACTGCCTGCACAGTTTCCTCCCCCCAACCCCGAAAAGCCAAAAAAGTTCCATTGTTCAATAACTTTCCCTTCTCCCCACCCACAATCCAGAAGAAAAACCTCATGCCAAACAAAAATAAACTCATTAGTCAGTGCTACTCAAGACATTTAGATTGCCAGCAGCTGCCACTGCCTGGACATTGCATACCATCAGGGCTGACAGCTTCTGCTGGAGGGCAGGAGCTGCCAGTTTGCTCTTTGGTAGTTCCACGAGCCCCAGACTCAAGCGGTACGTCATCAGTATCCTGTCCAACAGTTGGGGTTTGCTCATCCTTTTGTCCACACACTGGGGGAGGTGTCCAGCGGGGGATGAATGTGATCCCTTGGGAGATCAACTCCTTCAGATAGTGTTCAATCACTTCCTTGCCCTGAAGGGGAAAACTCTCATGAAGAAAAAACAATCCCATCCCCCCAGAACCAGCAAGGTGCAGAAGAGTTTTCCTCAGGACAGATGACTAATGCTGTCAGAGATAGACAGAAGGGAAATAGTTGTCTCCTTCCATCTACGTGACCCTGTTGGAAAAAATTTCAGTATGAAAGCACCATACAAATGGTGAATTACAACACTGGCCAGGCAAATTCCAATGCTATGGATGCAGCTACCTCTAACACTTTCATCCCGTTCCCCTGCTCCCAAACCATCAATTAGCTGCCGTGTTCCTCTGCAGCCCAGGGGAACAGGCCACCAAAAGGAAGCACCTCTGCCCAAGCTACTAGAGAGACAGGGTGCTGATTTTTACTCAGAACTTTCTCTTCCTGCATGAGAACAGTGTCCTCAGTGTCTGAGGAGCCTGGCACCGACAGCATCCACTGCGATCCTCCTCTGGCATAGCTGCTCCCTCCCCTGCAGACACATATTCCAGCAAGCAGATTGGTTTTTTTGCTTATTGCACACTATCTTTTTTTTTGTTTGCCTTACTGAGTGATTTCAGAGACATAAGCAAGGGTATAAAACTATACTGGGTCTATTTTACAGAAAAGAAAATAGAGGCACACTGAAAGCAGGCGTTTGATTTTGGTTTTTATGGCACAAAGGGAAGCCAATCTTACCCGCTTGATATTTGAAGTGTACTGCTTCATGGCAATTTTTTCCACTGTGCTTTCAAAGCCAAAAAACGACTTGATGTCAAGAGATGCAGACTGTTCAAAGCAAGTCCACTCTTCGTTCTCAGGGTGAACCTAAGCCCAAAGATACACACAAGGGTGGATGTCAGCAGATAGGTCACAATATGGCATGGCCCTTGCCCTGAGTACCAAACAGGCTATTTAATCTCCAGAGCTACAGAGTGAGGGGGCAGAAGAGGCTTCCTATGAGGCACCAATAGACCCATATTTAACAGTCAGATTAATTCTCCCAGAGTAATAGAAACGCATCGTGACCTGGACACATGGATGTTTGTGGTTAACCCAGCATTCTTCACATGCACAAGGAAATCAAGATTAAAAGCCATCTCTGCCCCAGCAGACCTGAACGGTAATATTCGTAGCAAAAGTGGCACTAAAATAGTAGTGAGACCGCCCACTTGAAACCATCAGGTCAAGATCTCCTTATGGAAAGACAGCAATGGCGTCTCAGAACATGCAATTAAAAAACCCTACATCTGCAAAGGAAGAAAAATGCAAACCAGGTTTTTTTTTCTGGTCTCAGATAGGAAACTCAGCCACTCATGTCAGCCTTCCCCCCAAAACACAGGGGACATGTCAGAGTGGGGAGTTTTCCCGTTGTCAGTTCAATACACACCTTTCCTTTCTAGCCATTTGCCCTCAGTTACTCCATATATGGTAAACACCTATATAATCTTTTCCTCTTTTAAACTTAACCCTTTTCTGAGATGTCTCTGCCTTTTCTCTGTCAGTGCTGCTGTTCACAAACTGACATGAAAGAAAAAAAATTCCAGCCCACACACAAAGATATGAGCTCTATAAAGGACACAAATTCCCCCAGGGGAGATATTAAGTAACTGCAAGAGCAGGATCATATTTCTCCAAGATGCTTCAGAGAACACTGCAGAAAAGGAAAGATGAGAATAAACCTGTTTCCGGTGCACTCCAGCAGGCAAAAGGGCACTGGTAAAAATAGAGCAGGAAACCATCTTGAGGATGCAGACAGCTAGCTCCTGCCCTGTTCCAGGAAGAGTGCTCCCCTCAAAGCCTAGCTGCTGATACTTCCTTCCGAGTCCAGGAGGCAACACAGCCAAAATCAGCAAGTGCAACAATGTCTGAGAGATTCCAGAGTTGACCTGGGAGCATTTCAGAACTGTCAGCGCCTTTCACAACGATGGAAGTTTGATTTACCACAGTTTATAGGAAGCCCCACATAGCCATCAAGTGACCTCTGGCTCAGGACCCCCTCCCCCTCTAAAATGTTAATAGCTTTTCAACTCTTTGTCTTGCTGGAAACAGAAGCTACTTACAGTTCGCTTACTCCCAAGAAGCTGAGCTGTCATCTGGTTGCCAAAAGGGCAGGTAAGTAACAGGATCTGGACTTTTGTTTAGGGAACAAAAAGCAGTATCTGATTGCTTCCAGAAACAGATGAAGCTATTTAATGGTGACTAAGCCCTAATAGCACAATTACGATGAGATGGCACACTGTTGCTGAAGATACAGCCACAAAGTGAGACACCCTAGGCCACAAATAAGGCTCAAGATCTTTCTCTAAATATTTAAAGCATGAAGATCATGACAAGGAACTGAAATTTTCACTTACTTGTGGGAAAAAGTAATTGCTAGACTTCCCTCTGGCCTTCATCATAATAAATATTAACAGTTTCCTTCTAAACATCCAGATCTAAATACATGCCCAAGCTCCAGATGCTTTTATTAACTTGAACTTCAACCAAAAAGAAACTCAGGGAATATCTGCAGCTCTGGAGCACCACCTGTGTTTTCTACTCTCACCCTGGGGCCTAATGCTCCAACCAGAGAATCACAATCAACCTAAAAGAGTTTCTCAAGTCATACAAAAGCACTGGAAAAAGCCTGCAGCCTAAGACCCAACAGCCTTCCCAGTCCAAGAGTATCTAACCATAGTACACTATGGTCCAGTGTTCAAATTCATTCAAGCAACTTCACCCTGTATATTAGTGCATGACTTTCCACGCTTCCTTCACAGACATACAGGAACAAAGCACTTACTGAGTAACTACATGTCTCAAGGACGACAACACGGTTGGCAAAAGTCTCATTGTGGGCCTCGATGCGGAGAGTTCGCTCTTTCCAGTTCACCGTGTTTTTCTGGATGAAGAAAACATACTCTACACCTGCAATCTGAGAAGGATGAAGAACCAAATGGAGGAGGGGAAAAGAGAGAGAGACTAACTTTAGGAGTCTTTATCTAAGCCAGCCAACAAAACCCAGGATTCTTTGTCCCCTAGGTTCCACTTGCCTTCTTTAGCAGCCTAGGAGCATCCACATTCAGTTTGCAGCTCCGTTCAATGATATGTATAGCTCCATCATCACTCCTGGATTCATGCAGGATTTCACTGCCCAGGAAGACTGGGATCTCTGGACATGTAGGAAAGCGCTTCTCATATGCCTGGAAGTGAAAACAAAGCAAGTTTCAGTTTCTGGCTAGATCAACTTTAACTCTTTCTGAATTAATGAATTCCCTTACAGTAAAAGTCCAACAAAACAGAGGCCCTTCACCCCTTCACCTCTGAGAAAAGGGGAGCCGACACAGGGGTTGCAGTTAAAGCAAAATAGTTACGAAGAGCGGATGCTGGTTCTAATGTCAGTCATGTCTTGACATAATTTTTCTTTCACACATGAAGTAGAAAAAAAAAGCCTGTTGTTAAAGAGTACCAGAAAGGGACTCATAACAACTTGAGCATCAGGAACCTAATCTTCAGCTAGCAAAAGCAAGCACAGCTCTGCCAATTTCTGGTAACTAAAGACTTGACCCAGAGATAATAAAATTCAGGTCAGACATATTGCCTGTATGAAGAAGCTATTTAAAAATATTTAATATTCCTGTGCCTTAAGATGTGATGTATCAAACAGTTCCAGATGCCCTGTACTATCAAGGGTAAGACCACCAGTTACTGGCTACTCCCTCTGCCTCAATTTATCCATTTCTAAACCAATTCTGTCCTGGTTCTGAATCTTCCTTTTTTTTTAATTAACCCACATCCCTCTGGAAAGCCTTTTATCCAAAGCTGCTTTATCAGCTCTAGCAAAAAAAAATAAATCCAGCTTTCCATGGCACTTGCAGCAAAGTTAACTTGCATAAGTGGTACCTATTCCCTAACTTCTCCATCTCTCATTATATTGCAAGATCTTTGTAGGATAGAATGTTTTCCTCAGATTTCTGAAAAATGTCTTGCACATTGTGATCCTATTGTAAATCTGTAATTGAAGCAACACTAGCACAAGCTGCACAAGAAGCCCAGGATTCAACTAGAGCTGTGACAGGAGGAGAACCCACACTCCCTTTCCATTGCACTCAGCGAGCTACACCATTTTGGTCATGAGATTTCTTTGCTATCATTCCACAGCTGAGCCTAACCTCTATGAACTGCTGCCATCTTCCCATCTCCCTAAGAGACAACCATTTTATACAGCACATAATTCTCTCACAAGTATTTATATTTTTATCTACCACAGAAGAAAATATTAATGTGATAATGATCGAGATCAGCTCAGTTGTCAGCATGTGCACAGTGCCATGGGCACGCTCAGGGTGGCTGCATTCTCTGTTACCACAGCAGTTCAAAGGCTGCTTGCCCCGTACATATTCACGTACCCTGGTGTTGCGAATAATACCTGCTCTTAAAATAGCTCAGGCACTTAAGGACACATTCCATATTTCCTGCTCTGAATGGAATAGAAGTTATTTCAGATTATCGTATTGCCCTAGTATCAGGAGGAAAGTGCAAGCCGACTACCAGCTGGAGTTCTGGTGGTAAACAAGTGAGCAGGTCTTTAAATCATCCCCTCCAAGTCACCAAGTAATGCTCCGTTTGCTTTGCCACGTTTCTTGGAGAGTTTTCCCCATATCTGCAAGGCCTCTACCTGTGCTTCTCACTCCTGATCACAACTAAAACTGTTTGGATAAATAAAAAAACTTACCATGGCAAGGGAGTGTTTCCAACACCAATCCACCTGGCTCCATACAACAAAAGCACACTCATTGCTTTAAGAATCTTAACTTGCTATGATGGGAATTCACGGATGCATGTCAGGCACTGCTACAGGATACCTCTAGCTCCCCACTCCTGGTAGACTGCACTTTCCTCAAGGGCCACAGAGGATAAGGGGTGCATCCCTTATCACCTGCTCTCTGATATCTGCAGTTGCCAGCACATTAATCTTCTCAAAGTTAATACTTCCTACTTGTGCCTCTACCTGCCCTCTCCCAATCCTCCAGACTCCAAACCACCAGCTAGTGCTGTCTTGAGGTCAAAGCCTTTACCTTACTAATCTCTTCTATTCTAGCACAGACAAGCAAGAGTCTCTCCAGGCCACCCATTCTTAGTTACTAGAGTCTCAGCATTAAGTGAAAGCTGTGAACAGTTTTTGTAGGTCACTGGAATACTAGAATATTTAGCAACTGGTTTTCAACTGTTTGTCCCATGCCACTCCTTATATGTGCCCTTAAGATACTTGCAAAAAGTGTAACTGAAAACCCTACCCTAAAAGAAGGCTGCCCCAGTTAATCCCACGGCTTTGGAAAACAGCAGCTAGTGCAGAGGCTAGACAACATCTCGAGTGGCAGAAGATGACATGAAAACGGCACTAGGATTGCCCATATGCTTGGCAGCAAATCCCAAGTCCACCTAAATACCCATAAAATCCCTCGCCTCTGTTCCCACAAGGAGTGCCAGGCCCTCCTCACCCTCAGCTACGTGGCACTGTACCCCTTGCTGCCTGAACTCAGGCACGCTCTGCACCGCCTTGGCTCACAGTTCCGGTCAAGCAGGTAATGTGGTACCTTCCAGGGCTCCATGTTCAATGGGCAAGGACCAACCGCAGGAAGAAAAGGCTGAGCCAACACCATCTGCTTCTCTGGGTCAGGATTGGGAATGGCCAAGGATTTCTTGCACCAAGTACTCATGATTTCCCACAAATTTAAGGGGTGCAAAGCTGCTGGACTGGAAGAAAGTCTCAAGTAGGGTGATCTCAGCTGTAAATGCATCCTCACCACTGAAAGAGCACAATGGCCAATCTGTAGCCCCCTGCACCACCACTGAATCCAAGTACCTCTGGCTCCGATTTGAAGATAAAGCCACCAGAATTCAACACACAGCTGCTTCTTTCTCCATTAAGTATGCACTTGACCCAGCTGGAGACAGTAAACTGTCATTAAATCTAGCAAAACCAAGACAACTACTAACAGAGTGGAGTCACTATTTTGGACAGCCAAACAACATCTGGAGAGCGAAGAAGAGTCAGGGAAGAGGAGCACATGTCTATGCACAGCCCTGGTGATATAACTAAGATAACAGCCTGAACCCACCACCTAAATAGGTGGAACGTTTCCATATTTGAGAAAATATTGATGTAGAAAATGGATTCTAAGTCCTTTGCTAATCTTCTTGCACAACAACTCTAAAAATACAGCAGCCAAACATGCCTGAGATCATATGAAGCACCCACAGTGCAGTCACAATAAAGTTGTACTGCTAATGCGCCTGATCTTTCATCACTAAAGAGACTGAGCTATCAGGACAGCAACCCACTTCTGCACCCAGCATCCTCCTATCAAAATCAGTATCTATATGCAACAATATATTTCTGCTCCAACAGAGAAATTGAGTGACATTATAGAGACAGAGAAACATTCAAAATTTTTTTCAAGCCACAGAGTTAGCTGTTATTTTCTCCTCCCCTATGATTCTGCAGAGTGCAAGGTGAACAACAGAATATCCCAGTCAAATGAATGGCACAGAGGACTTAATATTAGCTTGTTTTAATACTTCGGCTGCTAATCTGCCTGCATTTGCTCTTTCACCTCCTCACTGCAGTAACTCTGCACTGACTAGTATATAGGGAACTACAATTTGTCTCTCCCTTCTCTGCTCCTCCTTCCTCAGAAGGAATAACACTAGCATTGTGCCACTACTTTCTTTTAAGTGCATACCCACAATATTGCTTTAAGACAACCACCTCAATGACCAGTCTTGAACAGGATCAAATATA